TCATGTTGATTCGTGGCGCTGTAGTCCCAAGAATGGTGTTTGGGCGCGCTTCAGGATCTTCAAACGGTTGTCTCCCAACGGGACACTTCCCTCAATTGTAATGATGCCTTGTAGGGGCCTGCGAGGAGGGAACATGGAGGGAGGCTTTACTACAACATCGTTGATGAACCTTGCGTCTACGCTTCTCCTCCTCCTCCTCCTTCTTCCCCCCCGCTCCTCCTCCTCCTTCCCCCCCGCTCCTCCTCCTCCTCCTCCTCCTCCTCATCCTCCCCCTCCTCCTCATCCTCCTATTCCTCAGATCCCTCCTATTCCTCCTCCTCCTCCTCCTAATCCTCCCTCTCGTCCTCCTAGTCCTCCTTTTCCTCCTAGTCCTCCAATTCCTCCTATTCCTCCTCCTCCTCTTCCTCATATTCCTCCGATTCCTCCGATTCCTCCTATTTCTCCTATTCCCCCTATTCCTCATACTCCTCATATTCATCACATTCCTCCTGCTCCTCCTGTTCCTCCTATGCCTCCTCCTCCTCCTCCTCCTTCTCCTCCTCCTCCTCCTCCTCCATACGACTTCCTTATACCCAATTTCTTCATGTCGCACCCCGAGGACAATGTGTAAGGCGGGCCGGGCGTTTCGCCTGAGACTTCTTCACCATGTATGACCCTGAAGCTTAAAACTCACAGCAGTTTCACAGATGGAGGGCGGATGGTTTTCAAACTGTGGCACTCCCCTTAGCGCTGCGTGCATTCGTTAAAAAGTGCAAGAGGTTCACGGATTGAGGGCGACTGGTTTTCAAAATGTGGCGCTCGCCTCAACGCCGCGCAAACTTGTTTTTTGTTTACAATGTGCAAGAGTTTCACAGATTGAGGGCGGTTCGTTTCCAAAGTGGTGCTCTCGCCTTAGCGCCGCGCACATTAGTCCTTCAAATTGCAAGACGTTCACGGATTCCCATGATCAGCGCACCAGAAATGGTGTTTTGGAAGGATTCAGGATTATGAGGGTGGAACTTTACATTTATTCGCGGTGTTGAAATCCAAAGAATGGCGTTCTGGCACGACTCAAGATCGTTCAGATACACCACTCAAGTTGATACGTGGCGTTGGAATCCCGAGAACAATGGCTTGGGTTGCCTTCCAACGAGGCAGTTCCCTCAATGGACATGAACCGTTGTATGGGGCCTGTGAAGAGGGAGCCTGGAGGGAGGGTGTATTCCAACATCGTTGGGGACTCTTGGGCTTACACTGGTCCTCCTCCTCATCCTCCTCCTCCTCCTCCTCCTCCTCCTCCTCCTCCTCCTCCTCCTCCCATTCCTCCGATCCACCACGCCACCCTACGTGCCCGACGCCTTCTCGCCTGCCCCGCCGAGGGCTCCGCGGAGGGGCGGGGGGGGCGGGGGGCGCTTCCCGAGCTCGGCGTCCCACGGGAACGCCTTCTCGCCTCGGGCGGGGGGCGGGGAGCAGGCGGGGCCGCGCGGGCAGCCGCACGGACGGGCGCGCCACCGCCGAGCTCGCGAGAGCCGCTCGGACGGCACAAGGGGGCCAGAGGCTCGACGAACCCCAGTGGCCCAGCGGCCCTCTTGGGAGGAGGTGGCTAGGGGAAGAGAGAGAGGGGGGGAAGCTCATCGGTTCCAGCACAACCAAGACACAGGAGGGAAAAGAACAGGGGGAGGAGGGGGGAGGAGGAGGAGGAGGAGGAGGAGGAGGGGGGGGAGGAGGAGGAGGAGAGGAGGAGGAGGAGGAGGAGGAGGAGGAGGAGGAGGAGGAGGAGGAGGAGGAGGAGGAGAAGGAGGAGGAGGAGGAGAAGGAGAAGGAGGAGGAGGAGGAGGAGGAGGAGGAGGAGGAGCTGTTTACCTGTCGACCTGCATGCCGTGGTTACCTGCTGCATGGCGGGGCACGAGCAACACAATTACAGGTCAAAGAATACACCCACAGACTTAGGGAGCAACCCTCTGGACAGCCTGCCCAGCTTTGGTGGGGGTGCCGCACTCGCACCGCAATCTCTGCGGAAAATCAACGCAGTGCCTGCCGCACACATGGTTGCGCGGATCACGCATCAAGCAAGAAACGCTTCATGCGCCGCAGGCGTGGCGCCCTTCATACCTCGTGTGGGTGGGGGGGGGGGGCCACTCTCAGAGGTTCCCGCCTGAAGGATCCAACCACGCCCCGTTAGCAAAAACACATCACATCCCGAGGGAGGGCGGAGGAGGGGCAGCCCCCATGGACACCCCTGGCGACACTAGAGGCCTCCTAGATGGAGTCGGAGTAGATGGGGTCGGAGGATCGCTCCGCATCGCCGATACATAGGCGAGGCATCGCCGATGCCTCGGCGACATCGTCGATGCATCGGCGACCCAGCGTGGAGAAAATCGGGCTCCATATCGAGCCGCATCGCCGATGCATCGGCGATGCTGCGAGATCCTCCGACCCCGTCCACTCCGACCCCACCTGGGAGGCTTAGAGACACTGGGCCCCGTGCCCGCCTCGCACCCTGGGGCATGGACCCACCGGGCCCCTCCGCGCGGGACGAGCCGGGGGGCCCCTCGTCGCGTGCCGCCGCGAGGAGGCCGCTCCACGGCCCGGCAGACGCCTTGCTCCGCGCAGCCCGCCGCCCCCGGGATCGGGCGGGCAGGCAGGCCGGGGTGCGGCGGGTCGGCGGGAGCCCCAGGCGAGGAGGGTGGGACCGACTGGCTGGCGCGCCCCTGGCACGGCAGGATCCCAGACCAAGCCGAAATCGCATCGGAGCCACCAGCCCGCGCGACCCTCACCAGACGCCAACGGAGAGGCTACGGCCCGACCTGAGAGAGGAGGGTGAGTTCCGATCCCCCCGCCCTCGCGGGCGGGGCGCTCCCGGCCGCCCCGGAGCGCCGGGGGCGGGCAGGATGGCCAGATCCGAGGGAAGTCCCGAGCACAAGAGCGCGATCGCCGAGCAATGTTGGAAGAGCACTGCGCCATCACATGCGAAGGGCGTCCGTCATACTCCACTGAGGCATCAAAGCTGCGAGCGTGTCCTTGCTGAAGGCGCCCCTCTTGACGCAGGACTGCGAAAACTCAGATTGACGTGAGTACCCCCCATGGCAGAAGACACGCCCTCGGTGTTCACTGCTGTCTCAATGAAGGCGTCAGAGGGATGCCTGGTGCGAATGCATGCTGCAAATCCTAATACCAAACATGTAAGCTAAATTACTCGACGCGGAGATCCCCATATGTGTATCTATTTGCCTGGACCTGTTTCGCTGCGAATGTCTGCGAATGAGTCTGGGCATGAGTGGACCTGAGCAAGAAAGACTAAGAAAAGTGAGTCTGAGTGTGAGTGAGTCCATGTGTGGGCGAGTCTGAGCGTGAGTGAGTCGATGTGTATGAGTCGGAGAATGGCTAAGCATGTGGTAAATGCATATGAGTGAGAGTGCTCTGGGTGTTAGAGTGTAGGTGTGTGTGTGAGTTGTATGAGTGTGAGTGGCGTGAGTGTGAGTGTGAGTGTGAGACTGATTGTGACTGAGTCCGAGTGTGAGCTTGGACACATATGTAAACCACCTAGGGTTCGAGACCAGTAGACCACATAGGATTCGAGCCACAGGAGAAGGGCAATCCATGGGCACATACGCAAAACACGCAGGTGGGGTCGGCACGAGGACCTTCTGGGGCCTCCTGAAGCCTCCAGGAGGCCTCCTGGGGTCTCCTCGGGCTTCTTGGGATCTCCTGGGGCTCCCGGGAGCATCCTGGAGCCTCCTGGGGCATCCTGGGGCCTGCTGGTGCCCACTGGGGCCTGCAGGGGCCTCCTGGGGCCTTACTGGTGCCCCTTGGGGTTTCCTGGCGTTTCCTGCGACTTCCTGGGGCCTCCGGGGCCCCCCTGGGGCCTCCTGGGGCCTCCTAGAGTTTCCTGGGGCTCCCTGGGGCCACCTGAGACTTCCTGGGGCTGCCTGGGGCCTCCGAGGGTGTCCTGGAGCCTCCCGGGGCCTCCTGGTCCCTCTCTGGGGCTTCCTGGGGCTTCACCAACACAGGCAAACCGCCTGAGACATCCCCATAATATGGGCCCTTGGGAGTACTGAAACCAGCGCCTCGCCTGAGACATCCTCGGAAACTGCTCCGAAAGAGAAGGGGGTCGGGCACCCAAACAACCAAACCGCCTGAGACATCCCCCAAAGATGGGCGCGAACGGGCCTGTGATATACCCCCTGGCGCCCCACTCTTGGGAGTAGTGAAACCAGCGCCTCGCCTGAGACATCCTCGGAAACTGCTCCGAAAGAGAAGGATGTTAAGCACCCAAACAACCAAACCGCCTGAGACCTCCCCCCAATCTGGGCGCGAACAGGCCTGTGATCTACCCCCCTGGCGCCCTCCCTTGGGAAGTGCTGCGAAACCAACGAAACTGCTCCGAAAGAAAATTATGTTGAGCACCCAAACAACCAAACCGCCTGAGACATCCCCCAAAGATGGGCGCGAACGGGCCTGTGATATACCCCTGGCGCTCCCCCTTGGGAGTACTGAAACCAGCGCCTCGCCTGAGACATCCTCGCAAACTGCTCCGAAAGAGAAGAATGTTGGGTAGACAAACGGGCAAACCGCCTGAGACATTCCCCCAATCTGGGCGCGAACGGGCCTGTGATCTACCCCCTGGCGCCTCCCCTTGGGAAGTGCTGTGAAACCAGCGCCTCGCCTGAGACATCCTCGGAAACTGCTCCGAAAGAGAAGGATGCTGGGCACACAAACAACCAAACCGCCTGAGACATCCCCCCAATCTGGGCGCGAACGGGCCTGTGGTATACCCCCTGGCGCCCCCCCTTGGGAGTACTGAAACCAGCGCCTCGCCTGAGACATCCTCGGAAACTGCTCCGAAAGAAAAGGGGGTCGGGCACCCAAACAACCAAACCGCCTGAGACATCCCCCAAAGATGGGCGCGAACGGGCCTGTGATATACCCCCTGGCGCCCCACCCTTGGGAGTACTGAAACCAGCGCCTCGCCTGAGACATCCTCGAAAACTGCTCCGAAAGAAAAGGATGTTGAGCACCCAAACAACCAGAGACCTCCGCCAAATCTGGGCGCGAACGGGCCTGTGATCTACCCCCCTGGCGCCACCCCTTGGGAAGTGCTGTGAAACCAGCGCCTCCCCTGAGACATCGGAAACTGCTCCAAGAAAGGATGTTAAGCACCCAAACAACCAAACCGCCTGAGACATTCCCCAAATATGGGCGCGAACGGGCCTGTGATATACCCCTGGCACCCCCCCTTGGGAGTACTGAAACCAGCGCCTCGCCTGAGACATCCTCGGAAACTGCTCCGAAAGAGAAGGATGCTGGGTACACAAACTGGCAAACCGCCTGAGACATCTGCCAAATCTGGGCGCGAACGGGCCTGTGATCTACCCCCTGGCGCCCTCCCTTGTGAGTGCTGAAACCAGCGCCTCGCCTGAGACATCCTCGAAAACTGCTCCGAAAGAAAAGGATGTTAAGCACCCCAACAACCAAAACGCCTGAGACATCCCCCCAATCTGGGCGCGAACGGGCCTGTGATCTACCCCCTGGCGCCCCCCCTTGGGCGTACTGTGAAACCGACGCCTCACCTGAGCCATCCGCGGAAACTGCTCCGAAAGAGAAGGATGTTAAGCACCCAAACAAGCAAACCGCCTGAGACCTCCCCCCAATCTGGGCGCGAACGGGCATGTGATATACCCCCTGGCGCCCCCCCTTGGGAGTACTGAAACCAGCGCCTCGCCTGAGACATCCTCGCAAACTGCTCCGAAAGAGAAGGATGTTAAGCACCCAAACAACCAAACCGCCTGAGACATCCCCCCAATCTGGGCGCGAACGGGCCAATGATATACCCCATGGCGCCACTCCTTGGGAATACTGAAACCAGCGCCTCGCCTGAGACATCCTCGAAAACTGCTCCGAAAGAAAAGGATGTTAAGCACCCAAACAACCAAACCGCCTGAGGCATCCGCCAAATCTGAGCGCGAACGGGCTTGTGATCTACCCCCCTGGCGCCACCCCTCGGGAAGTGCTGTGAAACCAGCGCCTCCCCTGAGACATCCTCGGAAACTGCTCCGAAAGAAAAGGATGTTGAGCACCCAAACAACCAAACCGCCTGAGACATCCCCCAAAGATGGGCGCGAACGGGCCTGTGATATATCCCTGGCGCCCCCCCTTGGGAAGTGCTGTGAAACCAGCGCCTCGCGAGATATCGGAAACTGCTCCGAAAGAAAATGATGTTGAGCACCCAAGCAACCAAACCGCCTGAGACCTCCCCCAAAGATGGGCGCGAACGGGCCTGTGATATACCCCCTGGCGCCCCCCCTTGGGAGTACTGAAACCAGCGCCTCGCCTGAGCCATCCTCGGAAACTGCTCCGAAAGAGAAGGATGTTGGGCACACAAACAGGCAAACCGCCTGAGACATCTGCCAAATCTGGGCGCGAACGGGCCTGTGATCTACCCCCTGGCGCCCTCCCTTGGGAGTAGTGAAACCAGCGCCTCGCCTGAGACATCAGACATCCTCGGAAACTGCTCCGAAAGAGAAGGATGTTGGGCACCCAAACAGGCAAACTGCCTGAGACATCCCCCTTAATCTGCGCGCGTACGGGCCTGTGATATACCCCTGGCACCCCCCCCTGGGAGTACTTTGAAACCAGCGCCTCGCCTGAGACATCCTCGGACACTGCTCCGAAAGAGAAGGATGCTGGGCACACAAACTGGCAAACCGCCTGAGACCTCCCCCAATCTGGGCGCGAACGGGCCTGTGGTATACCCCCCGGCGCCCCCCCTTGGGAGTACTGAAACCAACGCCTCGCCTGAGACATCTCCCAACGTGTGTGTGTGTGTGTGTGTGTGTGTGTGTGTGTGTGTGTGTGTGTGTGTGTGTGTGTGTGTGTGTGTGTGTGTGTGTGTGTGTGTGTGTGTGTGTGTGTGTGTGTGTGTGTGTGTGTGTGTGTGTGTGTGTGTGTGTGTCTGAGCGCGGAAGTACCAGGAGTTTGAGTGAGTCTGCATATGAGTGATCCCGAGCATGAGAAACCTAAGTATCAGGAATCTAAGAGCGAGTGCATCTGAGTATGAGTGAGTCTGAATATGAGTGAGTCGACATGTGAGTGAGTCAGAGAGTGATGACCTGGGAGTGGGAGGTGTTCTCGCTCCGCGCGGTGTAAGTAAGAACAATAACCCCATCCTTAGGATATATGGACAAGTAGCTACACGGGCGGAGGCGGCCCTTTTCCAACAAAAGTGGGTCGGGTTCGAAGCGGGTGCACCGAAGAAAGGCGGTTCCTGAGTAAAACGGAGCTCTCGCCTGAGCTGGGCCAATGGGGCCCTCGTCTTGCAGTTGGCGGCTTCCCAAGCAACAAGAGTGCTCCCAGGGACACGTGCTGATGGGACTCGGGACGGAAGGGGTGCCCGTGACAGAGCCGCCCTCCGAGGAAGCGGGGTCCTGTCTTGGTGCCCGTCTCGGTGCTGGTCCTGGCCCCCTGCGGGCACTCGAAGTGGTGGCCGCAGCAGTTCTGAACCTGCTCGTCGGACCAGCTCTCCTCTCGCGAGGGGGGACCGGCACCTGCTGCGAGGGCCGCGGCCTCGGCGGCCCGAGAACGGTGCGAAGGGCAAGAGCCGGCCCACCCTTGCTCTGCCTCGTCCTGCTGCCCACTCCTCGTCATGAGATGCACGCGGCTCGTCCCCTCCCCCATCGCCCGCCTCTTCGTCCGCCGCTTCCTCGGCATCGTCCCTTTCCGGCGCGGTGAGCACCCGTCGTGGCACCAGCAGACTCGTAACCGGACGAGCGTCGACCTCAGTGCGACCGAGCTAGTCCCTGCTTTGAGGTCCAATGTCTCTGCAAGAACAGACACATCATCAGCATCATCAGCGTCTTTATCCTAATAACCCTCCTCCCTTTTCGGACAGCGCGCGAGGAGAGAGCTGCATATCACGATACACTCCCAACAATCACGTAATACGATCGCATTCGGATGTCAAAGATGCTGGGGCACAGCCTGGTGAGCTGGCCCTCTCTTGCATTTGAAGAGTATGCATCTTGTATGCCCAGCGTAAGTGGACCTGCCTTGCAAGGAGGCCCTGTGAGGGGGGTGGGCGCTGGGACGTCCCAGGGTCGGCTCACGTGGTGCTGGTCACCCGCCACCAAATCCTACATGCTGCACGGGGCTGCAGCAGGCGAGGTCGAACCCTCGAGTGTGAGCTCTAGCAAGAGCGCGCTGCTCACCAAGCGTCCTCATGCCCCCCTTGTTCCCCAGATGTCCCTCTTCCCGTCACATCTCCCTCTGGCCCTGAGCGGTTCAGATACCCTAGCCCGTTGGGACTCTCCAGCTGAGTGAGACCGAAACGGGCTCATAATTTCCCATTCATGGAGTTCTGCGGCCCTCACCCACCGAAGGCGCTGGGGTAGTCGCACGAAGCAGAGCCGACTTAGAATCCAAAGACGGCCGAGGGGAGCTCCACCAAGTTCGGGGGAGTCCTCCATTCCCGCTCCCCCCTCTTGCATCCTCCCTTCTCATCCTCCTCCTGCTGATGCTTCGTGCGGCGTCTAACGTCTCCTCTCTTCCTGGTCCCCTGAACTCGTCCGCGCTGGGGGCCGAGAGGGGGCGGCGATGCCAGATCCTCCTCCTCCTCCGCCTCCTCCTCCTTCCCCTCCCCCCATAGCTGCCCAAAGGTTGACTGTATTCGCGGATCTGCCGAATAGTTCGATCATCGAATCGCTCGAGTGAAAACGAGTCGGCGGAGGGAGAACATCGCCATGGGCGCAACGCGCACACATCAACAGGCAACATATAATCGATCGAATCCTGGACAGCCCTGCTGCATGCTGCCCGTCGTACATCCGCCACCGTGCCTGGCCTGCACAGTCACTTGCAAATGCGAATCGCCCAACGATTGTCGGCAACTTGCGCCCCTGACCACGACAGCGACCGCGCGCCGCCCATCCCCGACCAAGCCCCGTGCCGACTGGGTCCCGGGCTCTGGACCCGTGCCGATGGCCCAACATGGCCGACGGCGGCATTGGCATCCAGGGGGCCCAGGATGGCGAAAGACGGCACGAGCGGTTTCGACGGATCTCGACCCGACGGCCGCAGTTCGAAATGGGGAGACCCTGGCCCGCTTGAAGGCGGCATGCGTTCCGGGTGCCAAGATGCTGGAGCTGGGTCCAGCCGCGGCTGCAGATGGCGCCGCTTCCCCTGGAGCTCCCCGTCACGCGCTCGGCTCGCGTCGCGGGGCGTCGTGCAGTCGTGCACGGGGCGGGCCCTGGCCCGTGCGCGGCTTCTCCAGTTGCCACCCGATCCTTCTCCTCCTCCTCCTCATCATCATCATCATCACCACCACCACCCATCACCACCACCACCACCACCACCAACACCACCACCATCATCATCATGCTCATCATCATCATCATCATCAGCATCATCATCAGCATCATCATCATCATCATCATCATCATCATCATCATCATCATCGTCATCATCATCATCATCACCACCATCATCATCATCACCATCATCATCATCATCATCATCATCATCAGCAGCAGCAGCATCAACATCATCAGCCACAGCATCATCATCATCATCACCACCATCATCATCATCATCATCAGTATCATCATCCTCATCCTCATCATCATGATCACCATCATCATCACCATCATCATCAGCATCATCATCATCCTTATCCTCCTCCTCCTCCATTATTCTCCTTACTAGCAACTTCTCCCTGTCTCACCCGGGAGCCAGTTTTGGGGGCGGGCTGGGCGTTTCGCGTAAGACTTCCTCACCACTTATGACTCTGAAGCTTGAAAATTGGCAACCGTTTCACACATGGAGGACGGGTCGTTTTCAACATGTGGCTCTCGCCTTAGCGCGGCGCACATTCGTTTTTAAAACATGCAAGAGCTTGACGGATTGAGGGCGGGCCGATTTCAGAATGTGCTTGTCGCCTTAGCGCTGCGCACATTCGTTTTGAAAGTTTGAAAGAGTTTCGCGGATTGAAGGCGGGTCGTTTTTCAAAATCTGGCTCTCGCCATTGCGCGGCGGACACTCGTTTTCAAATGTGCAAGAACTTCACGGATTGAGGGCGGGTCGTTTTCAAAATGCGGCTCTCGCCCTAGCGCGGCACACATTCGCTTTAAATATTGCAAGATATTCACGGATTAAGGCGGCCCCTTTTCAAAATGTTGCTCTTGCCTTATCGCGGCACACATTCGTTTGAGCAAATTGCAAGAGTTTCACTGAATCCCATCATCAGCGTGCCAGAAACGGTGTTTAAAAGGATTCTAGATTATGCCGGCGCAGCAGTTGTGTTGATTCGCGGTGTAAATGTCCCGAGAATGGCGTTCTGGCACGATTCAGGATTGCCAAGACGCAACAGTCAGGTTGGTCCGTGGCGTTGGAATCATGAGAACAATGGTTTGGCGTGCTTCAGGGTTTTCAAACGGTTGTTTTCCAAAGAGGCAGTTCCTTCAATGGAAATGAACCGTTGTAGGGGCCTCCTCCTCCTCCTCCTCCTCCTCCTCCTCCTCGACATCCCCCTCCTCCCCCTCCTCCTCCTCCTCCTCCTCCTCCTCCTCCTCGACATCCCCCTCCTCCCCCTCCTCCTCCTCCTCCTCTTCCTCCTCCTCCTCCTCTTCCGCCACCGCCGCCGCCGCCGCTTCCGCCTCCGCCTCCGCCTCCGCCTCCGCCTCCGCCTCCGCCTCCGCCTCCTCCCTCCCTCCCTCGTCACTGGCACCAGGCAGTTTCCGCAGATGCAGGGCAGGCAGGAGAAGGAGGAAGGAGAGGAGGAGCATGGAGGAATCGAGGAGAGCAGGGACGCTTAGCTACCTGCATTGGCAGCCCCTCCTGGTCAAGGAGGGGACGGCCGCCAGCCACCTAGGCCGCTAGAGGGTAAACCTTTGGCCGGAGATTGAGCTAGACCGTAAATCAGATCCTCACGGCGGAAACGAATACCAAGCACGACATGCTTTTCATGATTCCTGGCCGCGGGCGGGCGGCACAGCCGAACTGTGAGCGCGGTGCCAAACGCCACCGCCGTTGACGTTTACGCACGACGGTACCAGGCCGCAGCAGTCGGCGAAACTGCCAGGACCTGGGCGCGGTGCGAACGTAGGCCTGCGTCGTGACTGGGCGGCCCAGGAATTAACTCAGCGAGCCGTCCTGGCCTGTGTTGCTTGGGCACGACGAAGGCGTCTCGCGCCGCATCCAAACCACAATAAAGGTCGGGTGGGTGGGCAATTTCGGGCCGGAGGACACGGCTAGGGCCTCCGCCATCGCGGGCGGCCGCCCCGGCTCAAGCCTGAGCCGAAACAGCTGCGGGACAAGCATGCCCTCAGGTAAACGCTGGCGCAAGGGAATATGGCGCTAATGGCGAAGCGCGGTGATTTTAGCGACTAGGGCCCAGGCGGTTGGAACCGGCCACCAAGCCAAGGGCAAGGCGCAGTTGTTTTTTCGAGACGCGGGCCCAGACGGTGAAACGCGGTGGCCTTCGCACCACGAGCCCTGGCATAGAGGGTCGGCCACGCAGATACGGCGGAGTTTCGGTCACGCTCGCAAGACAACCTCCTTAAGGGCGGGTCCTTAGCCTAATGTGTATATGTGTCCTACGTGGGCGCAGCGACAATTCAGGGGGGCCTGCCCCACCTACCCCTAGCCCTTGAGGCTCCCTCCCTCCTTTCCTCCCTCCCTCCCTCCCTCCCTCCTCCCTCCTCCCTCCTCCCTCCGTAGCCATTTTGGCTCAAGGATTGGCTCGAGCGGTTTGCAAACCGGTTCCGCGCCGATCCCCGCCGCGACGCCCGCAAGGGCCGCCATCCGCCAGGCGCGACGCCTGCTTACTCTCCTCCATCCTACCCCCAGCGGCCTCGCGACGAGCCCGCTCATCATCGCAGAGCGCGCAAACAGCGCGCAAACGCCCGCACACTTTTAAGAGTGCATAAAGCCGCAATGATGCTCTCTCACCACCACTCTTTCCAGGGCCTCCCGCAGCAAGGCGCTGTCCCCACGACCTTGCCCCCGCCTCGCGCGACGCCTCTCTCGCCAACGTCAGGGCTGCAGCAGCACGGTATGGCTACCTCCCCTACGCAGCGTATGGCTGCTCCTCCCTCTCCGTCCCTATATGCCACGCGCCTGCCTGCTGACTTTTTTCCTCCCCCCCAGCAGCCAGTGCACCAGAAAGGCAGCGCCCCTCCCGAGCTTTGGTATTGCCTGCAATGCGGCCGGGCCAATACCACTTTGGACGTTTCATGCCCCACCTGCTTTCCGACTCGGGCGGCAGGACCCCAGCATGCGACACCCGGCCCCGCCAAAGGTCAGGAGCAGCACAAGCCCCTGCAAGGTGCGGGCCCCTGGCCGGGCCACAAGGGCCCACGCTCCTTTTCTGGAAGCACGGGTGGGGCACACATGGGCAAAGGCCATGCTCCGTCAAATGCGCCATCTTTCGACCAGGTGGCTGCGTGGGCAGCGGAGCACGGCTTACTCCCCGCACCCCCAGGAGACCACACGGTCCAGCCAGAAGTGTTCTCCAGCAAGGAGCGCAAGAA